ATGAGTTGTACGGTTTGAAGTTGCAAAATTGCTCATGAAATGTGGAAGGAGCAGGGGAACGTGTAAAGTGAGAAGGTTTCTGTGGGGAATGGGCCAACATCCTGAACAGTTTGAAGTTGGAATGCTTTGAATGAGTGAGAAATTTGGGAACGGTTGAGCGAAATTTTCCATTCATTTCCATGCACACTTTTTTTTTTTTTTTACTGGGAAAATGTGGAACTGTGGGCGACTTGTGAATGGAGTGAACGTGGGAAAAAGGAGCCAGCGAGTGAGTGAGTGAGTGAGTGTTGAAACCCCGCCCCCCAAAGAATGACATCAACTTTGTACTCCAACAGACACCACCAACATCGAGCATAAGCAGAAAACAGAGCGCGCCGCCTACAGACAAGACACCACAGTGCACCACAGAAAGAAGCCAGACGCCGCGAGATCAGCGGCACCACGCGGTGAGCGAGCGGCCGACGCCCCAACACGCCTGCGACATGCCTGACTTGTTCTTTTTGGGTTGATGAGCAATAGCCAATGGAGGAGTGTGTGTGTGTGTTTTGGGGAGGGGCACCTCCTAGCTCCGCCTCCCCCCATTTGTTGCTGATCCGCCACGTTCTCATGGCGCACACACACATCGACTACGACCGCCACTAGAACTTCTACTACCGCTAGCACGTACTCCATCTACGAATTGGAGCACTCCTTCGCCTCCCTTCCCGCCACTGTTACTACGACAACTTGCTCTGCTATCACCATCACGACAACTACTAATTAAAAGGCAAGCAGTCCGCTTTTGGATGTCCTTGCTTGTGCCCTGATGCTCACTCGAATAGAGAGCACACACTAGCTGACAACAGTGCTGCCTGCATGCTACTGGCGACATTCTGAACATCAACTACACAGGTAACATCTAGTGCGTCACTAGTCATACTCCAAAGGTGCGTCTGTCAACTGGCGCACAGTTGTGCCTCACTCGTAACACGCAGGCGAACTTTGCTAATGCCCAGTCTCATACAATGGTGGCGAAAAACTGAACTAGTGAAACGCAGTCCGCCGAGAAGGGGCTCATTTGCATACTAGTGCCGAGAGTACATTCGTGTTGAATAAATATTTTTTAAAAATTCCATACTAGAACGACCACCGCTGTGACTACGAGTTGAACGTGCCAGCTTTGAACTAGATTAGGATGTCGGAAATGCGTCCATGTGTTGGGACTCCAGTGGGGTACATCTTTGGGAGGTTGATGGAGGAACGCAGGAGAGCAACGTGGGGGGAGACGTTTACCGGCACAGACACACACCTGACACACCTGTCAGAGACGACTTAGCCAGGGCGCCGATGCCGTACGAGTTGGCCGACTTCCTCTTGAGGCGCGGCAGGATGGACGTGGTGTCCTCCATGGATAGCTGCGAGGGAAACGGGACCCAAGAGAGGATGGACGCCGAAAACAAACAGAAGATGAGTGAGGACTATAACACTCGGAAGGGAAAAGCAGGGCAAAAACAGCCAGCGCGCTAATGCTAACAAAACTTTGGGGACCAAATTTACTGAACGTGGCCTTTGCGTGACGCTAACTGGAGCAACCGCGTAGCCTAGCATCTAATTCTCAAAGCACACGCAGATGGTGAACTGCTTCACCAACTGCGATGCCAAGCAGAATGTGTCTCAGTGTGCCGGTGTTATTTGCGCATCTCGCAATGAGGTAATATGCATATATTTGCCGAAAAAATTGACCAAATGAGCCTCATTGGTAAACAACGTCTACTTCATTCTCACCAGCTAGCGCTGGTTTGAGTGACGCAAATAAGGTGTCGAGAAAGCTGCTGTAAAATGGCCGCTCAGCGTTTCTGGCAGCAGTGGCACGCAAAGAGTATTGCTTTGACAGGCAAAGCCGCCCCTCCCTAAACGCGGCTCCCCGCACTGTGCATCGGGCCCCATCCGCCGTTGTGGGCGAGGGGACACATTACGGCCTGCCGCATGGGGCACTTGGCGTCCTACATTACGTATGTGCGTGTTTGACAATGACTATGAAAAAATGCGCGCGTGCGTGCATTTGTGTGTAAAAAGCAGTCCAAAAATTAGCCGATGTGCTAATGCTAACAGGTTACGCACAAAACTAAATATGTGGACACATCTGGCAGCTGAGTGGGCTTAGCATCAGAACGACGAATACACCGAGTGTCGATCAGGTGGTCGCGACGAATCGCAAAGTCACCTTTCATTTTGAGAGAATTTGAAGGCGGACAGCTGACACGACGAAACAAAGAACACAGACTGTATGCCAGCCGTGTAAGTGAGCGGCTGCCACAAAGGGTCGGGACGGCTTCCTGTCTGTCACAGCGTCGCTTTTCGTCTTGTCAAAAGAATAGCGTCTGCTTCAGATTGTTTGCTTCAAGGCCATCAGCTGTGCCAAGAAGCAGCACAAACACGCATGGTAGCAAACTGACGCTCCTTTTTTTTTTTTTTTTTTTTCCTTTTTTGCTCAGGAGAGTATGAGAAAGCAGGCGGGGAAGATATTCCCACGAGGAGACTCACATTGATTCCTTCCCAGGAAAACTCGGCACGCCCATGCTGGCAGGGAGAAAGACAACGAAGGGAGGAAGGAAGGCAAGGACAGAATTAAAAGCGGAAAGCTCAAGAACATGCAGGAAGTACTGTCAATACGTCAAACGCATTACCTGATCTCCATCTTTCCGTACCGGCACCGCATCGGCTGCTGGAGACGCACAATAAAGAAGACCAGATGAGTGACATCATCACCTTCAACTGTGACCTTCACGCACGCACGCATGCACGCACTCTCCTGGAAAACTGAATGAGGATGAAGAAGAATCATGAGGGTCGGCTGGGAGGAAATCACGTTTCACGTTTGTTTTGGGCATTGATCGAGTCGCCGTTGCCCACCTGGTTGCCACAAAAATAGCTTGGCTTTCGTTGGACAATTTGCCCCCGCCCCCCTAAAAAAAATGACCACTACATCTGAACACCGAGCATGCATGTCTGGATGAGCGCATGCACACGTGTACGCGTGGGCGTGTGTGTGTGTGATGAGCTCTTGTTAATGAAGGAGCCGCAGTGTTAGTCATGACTGTGCTCTCTGTGACTACATCTGACACGATGGACCTCAGGGGAACCCGGAGGCCGTTTACTCGGCGGAAGGTGAGGACGAAGGCTCTCAAAAGAAAAGCGAAGCGAGATCGACGGCCGCTTCGAGATGCGAAGTGGGGAAAATGGAGCCAATGGAAATTAAGGCATAGTGAAGGGGTGCCGCCCATCGACACGTACGGCGTTACACCATCGACATCGCGCGTGCGCAACATCGAGACATTTTAGTCTCGGCCGCGGCCTGTCCTCGAGCTTGCTGACGACAGGCCGTGGCCGCGCAAAAAACAACCTGCAAAACTCTTTGAGAGGCGAATGAGGCACGCACACCTGTGCCTGTGCCTGTGCCTGTGGGTGTCAAAAATGCTAATTGGTGTGAGTGTGAGTTTGGGAGTGTTTGCGTGTGTCAGTGTACACGTGGACGTGTGAAGGAATCGGAGCATTCCCAGCTGTCTTTTTCATGAAACCCCGCTCGCTCGCTTGCCAGACTATCAAAGGCTTGTTTGGAAACGCCCCTGGACCGTGACAGGATCTGAGACGGAATTCGAGACAGCACTTGAGAGAAACAAGACACACGATGGGATAACCCACAGAATGCGACGCAGTTCAGAAAGGACTCCAGATGGGATTCGGGACAGGGCACGAGATGGGTTGCCAGAGACGAGATTCGACATCCAAAACAGGACAAGAGACAGGACGTGAAACAGTCAATGGAGGACAGGAGACAGGATGCGACGTAGTTAAGAAAGGACTCCAAACGGTATTCGGGACAGGGCACGAGGTTGCCAGAGATGAGATTCGACATCCAAAACAGGACAAGAGACAGGACGTGAAACAGTCGATGCAGGACACGAGACAGGATGCAAGACAGGACTGCGGACAGGACACAAGAGAGAGGACCCAAGATAGGAATCCAGATTGTACCAGACATGCGACCGGGTTGAAAACAGGACAGAGGACAGGACTGCGCACAGAACAAGAAACGGCCGAGACAGGACTCGAGACAAGATGCGAGACACTCTAGGACCGGAGGCAGGACCCAGGACAGGAAAAAGGTGGAAAGCCGGAACTCCAGAACGGACGCCAGACGAGACGCGAGCTCGCAGAGTTGACCCAAATTTGCCGTCCCGTTTCCCCTCCGCCTCTCGTTGACCTCCGTCTTGTCGTTCTATTTTTAGCGTCGGCCAGTCGCTGTCGCCCGGAAGTCAGCGGAGGTTTTTCGTCCGAGAAGCGGGAATTCTATCCCGCCCATCAGGTCTCGCGGTGGGCGCTGCTCCGAAGAAGGAGAAAGAGGAAGAAGGAGAAGGTGGGTCGGCTTGCGTTCTCTTCCGAGTTCACTTACAGTGGAAGAAGAAGAAGAAGAAGAAGAAGAAGAAACCAAACAGGAAGTGGGAGGAAGACGTCATCCAAACAAGGAAGTAAACAAACCAGACTGAAACACAAAGTCCCCCCCCAGCTCAAAGACGCCACAAGGTCGGACAAGCATGCTGACCCTGAAAACAACAATGACAATGATGACGACGATTGGATGTGAATTTTATCGTGACGAAGATGACAACATTTATGGCAGACGACAAAACAATTACAATGGTGAAGATGGGGAAAAATGATGTCCATATTGACGAGGATGACGACGATGAAGATGACAATGACATGATATTGAAGAAAAGGAAAACGTTGCAAAGTCGAGCTCGTGTTCAATTGGAACCTGCACCCGTCTTTCAAGAACGTGAACGCATTGGAAGGGCAGGGTGAGGTCACGTGACCTTTGAGGGACGTGAACACATCTTGCCCCGTGCCGCCCTTTTCAGAAAACATGCACTCTGCTTAAAGGTCACAAAAGGGCACCTGAGCACAACACATTCGCACCTCTGCCCACGGAAGTCACAACACATCCCTGCGCGCGCAGGCGTGTGAGTATCCTCCCCGTGCTTCATTCGGGCTCACACCTGAGTTGACACGCACTTCATTCTGCGCTTGTGTGTGTGTCTCCAGTTGATGACGAGTGAGCGTGACGCACGTCAGAGACACGCGGGAAGGTGAGGCATGGAGAGGCGGGGGGGTGGGGGGGGGTGGGGGGGGAATGCAATGACCTTAGGTTGCATGTCAAAGCGGGGGTCTCTCTCGCTCACGTGGCGACATCGCTTCTTCCCTTCTGTCTGTTCGCGGGCGCACACGCCGCTAAGGTAACGCACACGCGCGCGCGGAGACATAAAAAGAGACCCTAAACGGAGCGCAAGGTGGCATCACGCGACATTTTGCCCGCAAAACGCACGCTGGCGTCCCAGCACATGGTGGCGCGTCTTACTGATGGTTCTGGATCCGATACAGCCCATGTTGCCCTTAGTGAGGCGCGCGCGGCGTGGCGGGAATTGCGTCCATCTTCCCCCTCCTCTTCCTCGCCGCTCGATTCTCTTCTTCCTCTTTTCTTCTTTCTCCGCCGCGACTGCGAGGCGGCGTGCGTTAGTGCGCGCGCGCACCGCTCTTTCCCCGCCGCACGTCCACGCCCTCGTTGTGTGGTCATGCGCGTCTCTGCGCATGCGCGGCGGTAGGCACGACAAAAAAAAAAAAAAAAAAAAAAAAAAAAAGCAACGCGATGAGATTTTTTTTCCAAAGTGTATAAGATAATGCCAAAGCGTGGATGTTAATGGCCGGTGATGTCATCAAGCCGAGTACTGGTCACCATGGCGACAAGAGAAAATTCCTTTCAATGAACTGAGAGATGGTGAGCGATCAAGTTTTGATTCGGCTTTTGTGTTTTTGAAGGTTTTAAGTGGATGCAATGTGATAGCGTCGTGGGTTTTGACATTTGAGCGCAGTAGGTGGAGGCGAGCGATCCAAAAGTAGTACTTTGGCATCATATTGTCGCATCCAAGAGTCAAGCAACGACCCTTATAGGTGAATTGCCAAGCTTCGCTTAGGCTAAAGTGGTGCTTTGCCGCCGTATGATTCCACCAACGAACGACCGTATACGCACTGTGGCGATCAATCCTTGTTTGTCTCTACGTGTCCTGTCATTAGCTGCTGACCGGTCCAGGTTCTTGTCTCCATCTAACCTGAGAAGAAGCACTGTCGAAATTGCATGGATGGATGCATGCAGGGTGCATGCCCGGCCTCTAGTTGGCACTGCGCTTCAGATGAAAGTCGAAAGATGACTCACGGCCAGACGTGAGGACGAAGACGACAACGAGGAGGAGATGAGCAAAGAGCTGACAGGAGGGAGAAACCTTTCTGCAATCAAAGGCAAACACAAACTATTTATAGACGAGTGTGTGTGTGGGTGTGTGTCTGCGTGTGTGTCTGCGTGTGTGCGCCCAGCTGCTCCAGTGAGTTGGAGGACAAACGAGGACAAAGATGAGGATGACAAGAGCCGGGAAACACCCAGCGACCAAAAATGAAATCAACATTTCTTTTACATATATCATAAAACATCACTTTGAGGACACGATAAAAAAACTCACTCACACTGTTCTACAAAAAAAAAAAAAAAGAAGAGGCTACGTGTGCTTGCTTCAAGCTCTCACTTCAACTTGAAGTTGGGACTGCCAACACCTCTAAAAGGAAATTCAACATTGTGCATTGAAAGGCTAAAAGTCAACTCAAACATGCCCTTTCGTTGAACCAAAGTCCACTTGCTTATTGCAAACAGAATGCAAGCGCTGTAGACTCGCGAACCAAAATGAGCCGAGTTGTAAACCTCTCTCCAAGCCAATGGCGGATGCTGGTCTGTCAAGGAGGGGAAGCTCAATTACGGCCTGCACCATAAAATGTGTCCGTTTATTTATACGTGAAATTCTACTCTCCGTTCCTTTTCAAAAAAAAAGGAAAAGGATGCCTTCACCATAAGATCGGTGATTGGCTCATTTCGCTGTTAATCAAAAAGAGATTCCGCCTCAGAGAGATCATCCAATCATCATGAAGAAAAGCTGAGCTTCTGCACGCCCACTGTCCATAGACTCCCAGAGACACTGAGCGTCCAATGGGCGGGACAAAACCAGCATTTATCCAATGACTCGTCTCGTTTCAATGCATTGGGACAACCTACAGTGAACTCTCGACGCCCAGCGTCCACACAGTTTAAAGCACAGTGAAGCTGCAGGAATGAATAAGAAGAGAGTCACGTCGTAACCAGTAATAAGAAGCTGATTCGGAACAAAAGTTGAGTGCGTTGTAGCGCATATTTAGTCAATGACATGTACACACAATTGTACGTACACACATATATTTGATCACTTACTTTTTGACATTTTAGGGGAAGCTGAGCTTCCCTTGCAGTCTTAGAGCGATTGCCTCTGCTCCAAGCAACTGTAACTTGAACACATGGAGCAATCTCACATATAATCTGAGCATCCAAAAATACTTCGAGGCATATTCTAACTCTGCAACGTGGGAATGACTACTATGGCTGGAGATTTCCTGTGGACCTTCTCTGCCTATGTCTTGGTCCTATTTACACGGCATCACTTCCACTCGAGCCAATTTTCAACAGTGCTTACAAAATTGAGTTGTAAAGTTTGAAAGGACTGTGTGTGTAAATGTTTTTTTTTTCACTGTTCTTTTTTTCAAGAAACCACTATTTATATTTCATTAATCCTCAAAACATATGTTCAATCAATGTCATTTAAAAATATTTTTAAGTAATCGCTAATTATATTACTTTTGTAAGCTTATGTTAAATTATTAATTATTTTCATTTTATATTTCAGCATTATATTCTTTTGTGTTAGTTATCTAAGTTATATAATGTTTAATAATTGTTGAAACATTTTTATGTTGCTTGCGTCTGATTGGCTAAAGAGAAGCAGGAAGTGTTTTCGTGACTGAAAGGGAGTTATGTTCTCGTTCGTTCGGAGGTGCAGACGTTTTTTTTTCTTTCTCCTTTTAATAAACTGCATTAAAGGATTCCATCTCTCCTTTTGTCATTCAAAAAGAAGAGCCATCCACTGAAAAACAAAGAACCCCTCAACTTACACTTTATTACATCGGGCGTATTTCCCCGACAAGAGGCTGCCATGTTTTCCTGGCATCTCTCTCTCTCTCTCTCTCTCTCTCTCTCTCTCTCTCTCTCTCTCTCTCGCTCTCTCTTTCTCCCCCCTTCTCATGACATGAAAAAGATTCTAATCTTCATAGAATAGTTTTGTTTTGAAAAAAAGATATATTCGTAACGTCATAGTTAAAAAAAAACACATCGTAATCGTGTGATGACTCTTTGGATATAAAATGTAGTGTGAAGACATAGTGGTCTTGTTTCGAAAGGAAAGGGGGAAAAAAGTGTCGTTTCCGTTCTACGTCAGACGTGAGACTGCTGGTGGCGGCAAAGTAAAAGTGATCAATTGGATGGCGAAAACTAAATGAGAAATATTACAAAACAAGGTGGGGAAGATATTTTGGTGAAGGGAAAAAGCTAAATTGAACAGAAATTTATGAGAGGTAATTGGGACTTTATGGCGTGCATTTACGCATGCGCGCCATGTCCTCATCCCTGAGTGCGTTTTGTCTTTCAACCCCCACCCCTCCCTCACTTGTGGTCTGTCCCGGACTGGATTATCATCGCGCATCCGAGATGTGAGTACTGCATTGTTTGAACGGGTTTTTTCATGCTTACCGTCGTTTTAAGATGAAAACAAAATGCTCAAAGTTGACTTGCGAGCCTGTTGAACGTGACGTCATTTGCTCGGCACACTGCGCTCCATTTTCGTCGTGTTTGCAAACAGAAAGATATTGTAAATATTTTGACTGCTCCTATGTATTGATATCTGTGCCGTTGTGTGAATCCTTCTTGTTTATCTGTGCCACTAATGTAAACTGTCGAAAAATAGAAGAAACGTACTCAAATGTACGTCATTGGACCTCCACTGTCACGTGATGTGGCCTCCAGCTGGTTATAAAAAAGTATTGTGGCCAATTTTAATAAAATATGCATACAAATTTGTAAGAAAAAAAACAACTCTCCTGATGACCTTTGCCGTGCAACCCCTCCCCCCAGGGCTACTCCAGATGCAGCAGGAACCCCGGGAGCCCCCGACTCTGAGGGGGGACCTCCGGCCGCAGCCCCCAACCTGACCAGCAACAGGCGACTGCAGCAGACGCAGGCGCAGGTGGATGAGGTCAGAGACGGCAATGGCACATATCGTGTTAGCATGGCTCCACATGTCATTATCAGTCCGGATTGAGACAAGAAAAATACGCTCCTCACAAAAGTTTGGCATGTTCAACTTGTGGGCAAAATTTCTGGTTCAGCCAAAAATGCATGACAGTGAACCCTCGCAAATTTGGAGTCGGGAATTGGTGAATTTATCCGTTGTACCATCTTGGTGCCTTGGAATGATATTGAAGTGAGTTGAGGAGTTTAATTTCAACAAAAGGAGAGCTTTGACACCATTGTAGCATTTCGATGTCAAGGAACTGCAGTGGAAAGTGGACTGAACACACGACTTGGGGAAAGGCATCATCTGCTCGAGATGATTTTCTATAAAATGAAGCTACCACTTTTTTTTCATGCGGTTGCAGGTGGTGGACATCATGCGTGTGAACGTGGACAAGGTTCTGGAACGCGACCAAAAGTTGTCGGAGTTGGACGACCGCGCCGACGCCCTGCAGGCTGGGGCCTCGCAGTTCGAGAGCAGCGCCGCCAAGCTCAAAAACAAGTACTGGTGGAAAAACTGCAAGGTCTGTGGCATCATCATTCATTCGTTTTTTTGTTTTTTTTTGCCTGAAATAAATGGTGCTCAAAGTGGCTCAGCGGAAGGTGGGCACTAGTTTTAGCTGACCCCCCAAAACACTGGAAAGCTGTAGGTCATTGGTTTTTAACCTGGGTTCGATGAATCAGTCTCAGGGGTTCGACAGAGCCTCTGCCATGGAGATTAAGACCACCGGACTCAACATATCAATTACCGGTAGTTATGACATAGCCATCACTGGCTGGTTCATTTTGTGCACAATTAAAAAACGTACAGTCATACCTTGGTTTTTGACCGTAATCCGTTCCAGAAGGCTGTTCAAAAAGCGCTTTGTTCGAAATCCGAAACTATTTTATTAGCCCATGATTAGGGGCTAATACACTATGCAGAAATAACATAAAAACAGTCAGGTTTGCGTAAATCACAACAAACACGTCTGCTCACAATGAACGCTACACGAGGAAGCGTCACTTCCTCGCGTAAGGAAGCCCAGAGGAGTCAAGTGGTGTGTTCGGGTTTGCTCAGCTTGGTCGAAAGCCCGTTTTCTGTCATAATCCGAGGCGTAAAAATCTTGAATTTTCTAGTCGAAAACCGATTTGGTCGAGGACAGAGACGTTTGAAAACCGAGGTTTGACTGTAATTTATACTTCTACTAATTATGTGTACTTTTTTCTGTTTTTAATAAATGCGTTTGTAAAAAAATCTAATTTTTATTTTTCACTCGTGAAGGGTTCGGTGAACGTGCATATGAATTGGTTGGGTTCGGGACCTCTAACAAGGTTAAGAACCGCTGCTGAATGTGGAAAAAAAAATCAGGACTACATATATCGTAGTTCTCATCCTTTGAACGTCTGTCGCAATTATCTTCAAACATGTTCAATGTATTTTGAAACAAATGTCTGAATTCACTTTACAGGGCCTTCAAGTACATTTTTTAAAAAATTTACTTCACATCATTGCTACATCTTTTACCGCTGGTTCTTTTAACACTTTTAAAGTACTTCTACCTAAGTACAATGTCAAGTAGGTAAATTACTTTAGCCACGCTCGCATACAATTTCTGTGTTGATCCATCCATGGGTCATGTGGGGAGGCTCCACCCCTCCACGAAGCCTGAGAAGCGTCCAATCAGGACAGGCGGAGGCGGCTCACACCAGCGAGCAGGAAGTCCGAAATCCCAATCGGGATTATAGCGAGGATTAAGCGGACAGCTGTGACGTGATTCCAGCATCGGTGGCCCAACAAACACACAAGCGGCAAATAACAGAATGATGCACACGCACACACGGACCCTCCGTCGCCCCTCTGTAATCTTGCATGCGCCCCGTCCATCATTTTTAAATCGGGGATGTATGTCAAAATAAATCCAACTGAAGTTGATTCGAACCATAGCATCATACTTGCTTAAAATTTTTGCAATGCTTTTTGTATTTGAAAGTGACTTTGGCAAATTGCGACATGGTCAGGCAAGAGCTGTGTTGCCTATGGCCGCCATCTGGTGGCATCTTAGTGTTCAGCAAGCATCTTGGAGTGAGTTGAGGAGTTTTATTAGGCAATCGCAAAGCTTTTTACGGGGGCTGTGGGGATGAGCGGTGTCATCAATTCCTTGAAGATATTTACCTCCTCTTGCAACTGTAAGACACATTTCATGTCAAGCGTTTGAGGTGAAAGTCTAGCACTTTCACATCCTTCAAGTGGGCTGTGGGCCCAGCGAGCACGTTGTCGCCACATTCACATCCTGGCTTGTTTGGGTCTTTTTTGCAGATGATGATCATCATGGCGGTGGTGGGCGTCCTTTTGTTTGGCGTCATCTTCTGTGAGTCTTTGGCTTGACTTGTGTCACCCATTTGCCGCAAACGTGATTGAGGAGAGAAGAGCCATATTTGACATGAGCACAACATCAGACATAATGCACACACACACACGCTAAATTGTGCCCTTTGCTCTGCGTCCTCAGTGTATTTCTTCTACTGAGCCGAAGTCTCCTCGGCCCTCCTCAGCTTCCCGCCCTCCTCTTCTCCCCAAGCCTTCCTAAGAAACTCCCACACTGGCAAGGCCCCTCCCTGCACCGGCTGATGGGTAACATCCGACCAATGAGGTGTGCTGTCGTGGAAATATTTCCATTTCAGCCCCGCATGGCAGCTGGAAATTTGTGAATGTGATCGCCGGACTTTGCGACAAAAGCATCGTAGGCCTTTTTGGTGCGTCTGCCCAAAAGAAGCAACACATTTGTATGGATTGCTCGAGGAGATTCTACAGAAGATGGAAAATTGACTTTTTCATGTTTGTATAGAGATAATTGTGTGTGTGTGTGTGTGTGTGTGTGTGTGTGTGTGTGTGTGTGTGTGTGTGTGTGTGTGTGTGTGTGTGCGTGCGTGTGTGTGTGTGCGTGTGTGTGTGTGTGTTGCCAACAATCGCAATTCTTCACCCTTGAGTGGGATAGAGGCTTATTGGTTCGTTGCCTGTTTTCATTGCTATCATTTTGACATGATCTTTACTGTGGTTTTTCATCACTATCGTTTTGTTCCCAACATGCTGTCACTAAAATGTCTTTCCACTATTATTTGGTTCCTCTTGTTTTATGACTATTTTTTCATCACTATGGATTTTTCACTGCGATTGGCTGGCAACCGGTTCAGGGTGTCCCCCGCCGACTGCCTGAAGATGGCTGGGATAGGCTCCAGCACCCCCCCCCCCCTGCAATCCTTGTGAGGAGAAAGCGGATCGGAAAATGGATGGATGGATGGGTTGATTTGTCATTGTTTTTTGCAAACATTTCCTTGCTGGTGAATATGTCGCCCAAATTTTTGCACTCTCGATTTGTCGCAATTGTGTCACCTCTACCATTGGTCCGTGTCACATTTGGTAATTAGATATTACGTTTGGAAGCGGATATTAAAAATAGAAATATGACTGGTTGCTTGATTTTTGTTTAAAAATGGAAACACTAAAATTGAAATGCAGCTTGATTTTCTCGGTTATTGTCCGGAACAGGTAAGAGTAGATTTTCAGTTTATATTCCTACTGTACAACAAAAATCGAATATAGCACGATAAACAAATGAAGGGGCGGTTGGGTCGGGTGAGGCGGGTCTATTTAGTTTGTGTTACCGGAAGTTGTCACTGACAGCATTTCTCCCACTGACCAGGAGATGGAGACAGTGCGGCGCCTGAAGACGAAGTTTTGTGTAGTGATAGACAACGTTGAAAAACTCGGCATATGAATCACTGTGATTTTTGTGACGTGAAGTGGAAGCACTAATTTCTCCGGGAAGCCAAAGCAGTCATCATGACAGGTCACATGGTGGCGCAGGTGTGCAAAGCGCTGTTGAACTAGCAGAAGAAAAAGAAGAAAAGTTGGATTGGCGGATGTGACGTCAGGCCTGCCGGTCAATTTGTGGCAGGTGTGTACAAGTGCGGCAAGATGGCGGTCGCGCGCGAGACCAAGTTTTTTTTTTCTGCCTCTATCTCAAAAAATATTTTTGTTTTGTTTTTAAGATGAAAATGTGTGCTTTATTATTTCTGAAGTGATTTCTTCTTTCGACGTCTTTGTCCAATTGTAAGGGCCAAGTGCAAAGTAACGTTAATGTGTGTCTCAACAAAAACTGCTAAATTCGACTCGTGCTGCGCCACCATTTTGGGACTGCAAACTTGGACAATGTGTCCGATTTGAGGTAAGTTTTCCTCGCATAAAAATGCTTGTTTACTTGTATTGTTAATATGAGGATGTAGAGTAGGGTAACCATATCTTAATTTCCACAAACGTACACTGCGCCCTGCCTCAGGATTCTGGTGACTTTTTCTGTGAAACTAAAAATAAATGCATCCTCCCCCTTTCCAAAGCGAGCTGGTCTTTCGATGACTTCCAACACTAATTTGAATTAAAACTGCTACTGTAGTTAGTATCTGTTAGTGTTACAAAAAATATGCTGTCTTATATAAGTAATTCCTGTTGATTATTTTTCTGTTGAACAAAAAATGAACCCAGCATCCACCTCAAAGCGACATTGTGGCCTTCCGACCAGTGACGGGCACTGTCTCAGTGATTCGCAATACACTCCGAAACAATTTGTCAAGTTTCAGCTTGTTTGTGACATTTATGAATGTACCGGTATGTGTACGCATTGAGTAGATAAAAAAATCATCTGCTCTTTTCTAAAGTACTGTAATTTATTCTTTTGACGTCTTCGTCGAATTGCAAAGGCCAGACTGCACAAACGTGCAAAGTACAACGTTCATCTGTTTCTAAAAAGACTGCTTTTGTGAATTCCACAAAACAGATGAAAAGTGACATCCTCATTGTTTATGAAGTCTTTAAAATCTCACATTTTTCACCAGGCCCGATGAGTATGCAAAGTTTGAGTTTTCCTACATGTTTGGCTCCCCCAAAAATGTCATTAGTTTTTGTAAAGAAAATAAAAAAAACAAAATAATTTCCCCAAAACCAATGGAGACCTCGCAGTGGATGATGCTCGGGCTCTAACCAAAACAAAATTAGGACATACAGTTTGGATAAGGTAAAAGTTAAATTTGTAACAATCTTGGGAATGGAGTTCACAGCAGGATTATCTCCTGGGGAAGAGTGAAGATATCCACTCCACCTTCTGCTGCGACATCTTTGCCGTCAAGGTATTAGCTGGTATGCCACACTACAGGCGAGTAGCCATTCTGCCAGTCCGTGTGGGGCAAGTGCTTCTCGGGCCGCAACTAGAGCTTCATGGTGCACATACGCTTGCACACGGGGCCAGAAAGCCTTCTCGTGCCCTCACTGTGGGAAGAGCTTCTCCGTCAAGGCGCACATATTGCGACACGCAAGGATGCACACTGGAGAGAAAATCTTCAGTTGCCATGCGTGTCACCTGAGGTCCTCGTGCAAGTACCAGATGGACAAGGACCCGTGTGCGCTTGGTGGCAGCAACGCACGGTGAAAACCAAAGTCATCGTGATGTTTGAGGTGAGCCATTTTATGCATTTGTCCGTTTTCTCTACCGTGGACCCTTGCCTTACCGACACATTTCTGGAGAAATGCTTCCATAGTTGAGCAGCTATGTTTTTTCTATTCAATTTTGCCCACGTCCGTATTTGTTCATTGTCATTTTTTTTCCCCCAAAAAGACACTTTTGATCAGTCCCCATCGAAATGATTGACCCATCTAAAATACATCTTCATGAAATCAAATCAAAATGGAAATGCAGTAGAATGCACTTTTCAAATCAGAAAAGGCTGCAAATTGGAAGAAAAAAAAATCTGCTTCACTTTGGTCGGTCGGTTGGCTTTATTTTCTACATATATATATTTGTTTATTCGTAAAGTGTCAAGATAAACTCAGTCCGTTTCCATCGTTGTTTCATAAAACAAGTCTGGCCTCAGTTCTTTGGGACTGTGGTCACGACCTTGTTGCACTCATTATGTGAAAGAAAAGCACTTGTAAATCACAAACAAAACCATCACTTGAAAAAATGAAAGAAAAAGGGATGGATGTTTGCATTTGGTAGACTAGCATACAGGATGAAAAATCTGTGTAGAGCAACCCCTAGCGTCCTCTGGTGGGACTGCATGCAGGTATCGAAGGACTCCCATGGGCTCAACATCTATTCAAGCGGAGGAGGAAGCATTGTTCAAAATAAACGCAACTTTATTTAACTTGCTGACACCCTTGACAAATGACAATGTCTTCCTTGTTCAAGTTTTGAGGGTATCTAGATTTGGCTGACATGTGACCTTGGATGGAACCCCCTGTCGGATGTTACCTTAAATGATTTACCGCCAAAGACGCACTCATAAATATACTCTACCAAAGGTGAGGAGGACTGAGTCCTTTTTCTCATGCATCCTCTGTCAACATGCAGTGGCAAAAAAATAAAATAATTATATAATGCATATTATTTCACGAAAAGAACATGCATCTGTCATTTGGCCGTCTATTAGCATCACTTGGCATTACAAGGAAAAAACACATATTTGCAGCTGGAAATGTGGTCCTGATGCAAACAAACACTATCACTTTGGTGACAAGATTCAAGGATAACCCAGGGGTGTCCAACCCACCACCCTCCCAATGGAATCTGTGTGTGTGTGTGTGTGTGTGTGTGTGTGTGTATATATATATATATATATATATATCACACACACATTGTATACAGTGATCCCTCGCTACTTCGCCGTTCGTTTATCGCGGGTTCAGTGCATCGCGGATTTTTTCAAACATCAAAAAAATTTTTATTTTTTTTTAAATATACATGGAGTACAGTACTGTATATGTTGCTCTATGTGACTCGCTGTTGTTTTGCAGCTTCTCGTGGACCGTTTGCGGACTTAAATTTTATTTTTTTTTTATATATGCTCAAAGGAGTAGGAAGAAGTATACAACTTATCTAGTCCTACCCCTTGTTGTGTAATAATATAAATAGATCATTTTTCAATGCAAAAGAAAAGGAAGAGATCTACATCTCATCAAGTACTTATGTGTACTGTACTTATCTATTTATACACCTTTCTGTATATATATATATATATATATATATATAATTGTAGTACTCGTATAAAACCTTCTAAAAGTTTAAAGTACAGCTAGAACCTGTTAGCAGATCAACATGTAATCCTTCACCTGGGTTGCCCGGGTATATATATATATATATATATATCACACACACATTGTATACAGTGATCCCTCGCTACTTCGCCGTTCGTTTATCGCGGGTTCAGTGCATCGCGGATTTTTTCAAACATCAAAAAAATTTTTATTTTTTTTTAAATATACATGGAGTACAGTACTGTATATGTTGCTCTATGTGACTCGCTGTTGTTTTGCAGCTTCTCGTGGACCGTTTGCGGACTTAAATTTTATTTTTTTTTTAACCTGTTTTTGTTAATTGGACGCTACTTCGCGGATTTTCGTTTATCGTGGACGAGGGATTACTGTATACAAACAAACATTGGCTGCAAATGGCCCAGGGATAATCGTTTGGCGCCACCTTGTGGCATTTGATGCAAAGATTCCTACTTCAGGAGTTTTGATTAAAAGGAGTACCTTGATGGCATGAATGGGAGTTTATGGGCTGAAAATTAGTCTTGCCTTGCAGTTTGGACACCTCTGGTGCAAAGTGCCTCATTTTTTGGGGGGGGATCCAAAAAATGTTTTATTTATATATATATATATATATATATATATAATTGTAGTACTCGTATAAAACCTTCTAAAAGTTTAAAGTACAGCTAGAACCTGTTAGCAGATCAA